GGAATTGAGCGGTATGCATGTAAATATTTCAAAAAAAATAAAAAAACAAACCATGAGTACTGATATCAAGACCTACGACATAATTGGCAAGCATGTTGATATCAAGCTCAATCTAATAATCAGTCTATCACTTAACTGGTTTTTAACTTACAAAGCTCAATCTAATGTCAGCCTCAGTATTCTATTTCCACAAATAAAAATTATGAGAAGTTCTTTTAACAAAGTATAATTTGTACCAAGCTCTAGAAGTCCTTCGAAGTTAAAATGATAATTCATACCAACGAGAGTAATACAAACACATTGAAAAGTACAGTTACTAAAATCTGCACAAAACACAACATGACTCCGGAGCAGGGCTTTCACTCAATGCATATTCTCCCTTTGATTCTATTCATAAACTCTATGGAAACCTGAAAACAGAAACATGAATAGCATAAGATTTTAATTCTTCAATTAACAGGTTATTCCTTCAAACGAAACAGATAAGTAAAGTTTAGTTATTTGCAATTTTTTCCCTTCGTAAAGTCATCCCCAAAAAGTTCTAGCAATAAAAATTAATGAGATACGAGTAGTGCAATAGTGATTTATCAAAAAAGTGTTGTACAATACAATTGAAATTTAACGATCAAATATTAGCAACAATATTGTTGCCATGGAGATGAGAGAAAAGAAAAACAATGGAAGAAAAATAAAGCTTGATGCTAAGTTTTTCTCTAAAATTGGCATACAACAAATCACAGAAGATATTCAAAACATTAGTGGGCATTCAAAGCCCCAACCAATAGATGAATTTAGAGATACCATAAAAAAGTGCACTGAAAATATATATTTGCATCTTCATGATCCATCCAATAGAAGAAATGACAATCAAAGTATTCTCTAATATTTGCATTTTCAGCATTCATAAAAAGTGCTCCGAAAGTACAAAACATACAAGCACTCAATCAAACAAAAGAAAGTTTAATGTTTGATAAAATGATTCGAATGTTAATTAAAGAAGGTGGATAAACTCAGGAATCACATATTGCATCTGTTATGCACTCCCTCAAAGCAATCATCTCATCTGCACCTTCGCCAACTTGGCTGTTAAAATCTTCAGCATTCATTACTTCATCTGGTATGGACTGCCCAACCTGGAATTCAAATGCTTCAGGTGGTATATGCATGTCATCGACGTCAACCATATCGAAGTTCATATCAGAACGAGAGGGGTGCCTTCTAATGAAGTTGTGGAGTGTCATCGTCGCCATAACAATATGTATATGTTTTTTAAAAGGATATGTTGGCATATCACGAAGAATGACTCATTTCTTCTTCCATACTCTAAAAGTCCTTTTGATTACCCCGCGTAAGGAAGAATGACGTTTGTTGAACATCTCTTTCCTACCACGTGCGACACCACTTGACCTCTCAAAATCAGGAATGTGATATTTTGTATCGGCATATGACTTTAAATACCCTCTCTGTAAAGGATATCCGACATCCACCAAATAGTAATTGCATGACATTATTTACATTAATAGTAACCCTTGAAGAAAAAATCCACAAAATTAATAAAAGGCAACACACTTTGAGGCGGATGTGGGAAGCATTGCCTGCTGTTATTCATCGCAAAGCTAAAAAGACGGTTGTCATGTGCACTCCCTTTCCATCCGACCATCACAAATGCGAAGCACATGTTGAAGTCACATACATCCATTACATTTTGTGTAGGTGAACCACACCGTCCAATGTACGCAACCTTTTCATCGCTTGGGAGTCGGGCATCGACGTGCGTACCGTGTACCGTCAATTGCTGCCCCAATGCAGTTTTGTATTATTTGTTAATGATCTCTACGACAGAATGTAAATTAAATTTTGAAATGTGAAGAACAAACTGAATAGACTAACCTTAAAAATGGCATGTAACGTGCGTCATTGGTAATTTTGGTTGGAGTTCTACTGAAAGTTGGATCTTTTGGCTTAATTATTTGTGAAACTAGGTTAATTAGTGATCTTATACCAATAGAGAAGTATCGACTTATTGTCTCTGAGGAATATTGAAATCGCTCTATAATTGAAATCGCTCCATAGCTCCTCTGATTGATTCATTTTGAGATAAAATAAACAATGTAATTGTCAAAACTTCTCTTGTAGTTGTTATGGCTGAACCTACAAGGTCGTGATTCACTCGTAATTCGTTAAGAAGATAAAAAAAAATTGGTACAGACATACGCAATATGTTGCTGAATCTTATGGAATGGTCAGCAAGCATCTCGTCCACCCATTTATCCCCAATAAATGACGATGTCATTCGCGGTGTTCGTACTATGTTTGAGCGGTAGTACTCCATTAACAATATAAGAATGCCGCACCCATTCTTCTGCGGCGTTCTCGGTACGACACTTATCGTCGCCAATCCATCCTGTATGAATGTTTTATTAAGCGTAAACAATTTCCTAAAGGTAACATAGAGAGATAAACAAAAATGAAAAAAAAACATATTTTTAAAAATATACTACTCCAAAAAAAGCCAAAAACAATGTCCATATCAAATATTTCACCAAAAACCTAAAGCAAAATACTTCACCCTAAAAAATACTTCACCCTAAACCTAAAATACTTCACCCTAAACATAAAGCAAAATACGTCACCTAAAACCTAAAGCAAAACATTCATTACAATAAACAAAATACACTAGAAACGACATATGAAAGATTTATTTATCAATTGAGAGACACAAATAATCAAGCTGGAGCTCGGGGCGGAGCCTTTTAAAAATCTGCCTATAGGTTGGGTCCTCGAGAACTCTAACACATTTCAAGTAGAATAAAGGATCAACAAGAACTTTTGGAATTTCTTCTAAATAACTCATAAAACCATCAACAATGAGATCATCTGACATTGGTTCAATTGATATCGGAGCTTCAAATACAATAATTAGTCTATTAATTGAGCTTTGAATGAAAATATCTTTATTTTTTTTCCTTTTTTTCCATCTTACGCCTCTTTGATTTGCCAGTTAATTCAAGCTCCCTTGGGTTTATGCTAGGGCCTTTCACCTGAACCAATAACCTGATCGGGGATTATGTCAATTGAGATGCCAACAAATCCCTGCTCACTGGGGTTGAATGAATGTTGACCTGTGGCGACAACTCCCTTGAACATAACGTCCAATTTCTCTTCCAAGTCCGGCTCAATTCCGCATAACTTAATTTTTTTTGCATTTGGAACTGCCTGCAATAAATAAGGGGGGAGGGTGTGTGAGCATAGTTGACAAAATAGAAGTGTAAATGTTAATTAATTGAGGAGTTTGCAGGGGTACAATTATTACCTCTAACTTCTTGGTCCACCATTCATCTGAAGCATTCACGGTGCACTTGACAGGATCCCAACCCAATCCCGTCGATCCCCGTTTAAGTTCCTTCCATAACTTTCACTCCTTCTTTAGCTGATCCCATTTGTTCTTCAATTTCAGTCTATCATCATCTCGCCCTGTCATTTCTTTAATTTTTTTGGAAATATTATGCCACTCTTCTTTATTAAAGTAGGTGGTAGGCCTATTTTCAAGTTCAATCTCTTTAATACATAAGTTGCAGAAAATGTATGTCACATCCTTTTCCCACATTGTTGATGAAGTCCCTTCTTTATTTTTATTCATAATGCAACTAATGAAACATATAGATCAAATAATCCAATGACATTGAAAATAAAATAAAGCATCAAGAGCTCTGTCATTTCTTTAAAGTCCCTTTTTTGTTTTTTTTTATAGCTTTAAGAAGCTCATATTGCACTCAATGGTTAAAGGGGTCAAATACAAACAAAAATTTCTCACTTGTATGTAAAAGCTCCAAATATAAATTCAAACAGAGAAAAAAACATTTGGCAAGCGCAGCAAAGCTAGCAATCCAAACAACAAAATAATATGAGGAATAAATCCACAAATCCAATTTAAACCTAGCAAATTGCGTAAATTAAAATTAAAACAATCCAAACAACAAAACAATATGAGGAATGAAATAAAAAATATGAATTTCAGTTTTAAAAAAATAACCATTTTCTTTCATATGCAAACTAGATTAGCACAGAGAGTTGCATTGCTACCAATAATAAATCCACAAATCTCAAGAGCCATGGAATCTTGCAAATTTGTCTTAACAAAACTGCATTAATAATATCGAACAAAAGCTTCACAAAGATGTATCAATTCCGTCATGAACAAAAACGCGAACGGAAGACGGAGGAGCAATAAGAAGTAAACATATCAACTAAACTTCCACAGAAAAAAAAACCAAAACAAATATCATGAACAAAAATGATCGGATGAATAAACAGCGAAAAGAAAAACATCCAGCGACATCTTCATGGAAATATACAAATCGGAGAGCGACAAAGGATCAAGGAGATAAAAATTGAGGTTACTAGTGAGAACGAGAACAGAAGACGAAGGAGTTCTGCGAACGGAAGACGGAGTTCTGCGAAAGGAAGACGAAGGAGCGAACAACTAATAGAAGACGGAGGAGACGGAGGATTGCCGAGGAGTGCTATGCATGGGATCGAGCCATTACGAAATTAGGGCAGAGGAGACGGGCACACGAGATCGAGACGAGCGAAATTAGGGCAGAGGAGACGGGAGGGGCATCAGGGGTCTTTCGACAGCATTAAACGCGGTCCGCGTATAAACAAAAATCAAAACTGAGTTTCACCAAAAGTTGTGTGGGTGGTTTTTCCAAATAAAAACAGGTGATGGCGTTTTGAAAATGTCATCGCTCTAATAAAACTGTCCCAAACGCATCCTTATTCTTGAGGTTTTTAGTTTCTTTATTTGAACACTTGTATCTCTAATGTCGTACAAATTGAAATATTATTTTTTATTTGTTTCTTTTGAGAGCTGTTTATGTTCACCTAATAAGTTTTTTGCGCTACAAAAGCATCGACCAAAAAGAATAACAGACATGCATTTTAAAAATATCGCAATAAACGTCTCCTTAAATTTTTTCACAGTTACATCCCAGCCCTGCTCTCTCTCTGTCTCTCTCTCTCTCTCACCTCACACACGCACTGGTACAGACACGGAGTAACTATCAGTCTAGCTAGCTAGCTGCTCAAGACGGATAATAGGCGGCAATTAGCAAGTAGTATACGTATTTGCGAAGTGAAATTAGAAGAAGCCCAAGGTAAGGTCCAATGGCGGTTCTATTACAGCGTCGAAGAAGTGCACCTCTCCTGCCATGTTATTCCCCAGCGGAGAGTTTCTGGCCGTTTTGTACTGATCCTCTCCCACAACGTCGTAGTCATAGTTAGAAGTCAAAGGAAACAGCTTAAGCGTCTTCTTCTCTCCTCTCTTCATCTCCATTTCTTCGTTCCAGATACCTGCGTGCTTGCGCAGCATATTAATGTATGTAAACAGTTAATTAACTATGCATATTCCCCTGCATGGAATTATAATAGTATGCGTCGAAGATATTTCACATCTTTTGAATGGTATGATGATAGACCTGACAGCTTAGTTACTGGGAACTTCCTATGCTCTGAGGGTTCTATAACGAAAAGTTCACTATGTACTGGTGACGTCGGAGCTGGTGGTGGGCGGCGGCGCTTCTTTTGAGGGTGGTGGTGGCGTTCACGGGCCTTGTGGTTTTGAAACCAATAAAAGACGTTCTTGTTCTCAATCTTGCCGAAGGAACTGAGATGGTATGAGATCTTCTGGATTTGCTCCGTGCTTGGTGTTCGCAGCCCCGCGCTAAAGAGATCCATCAGCACCTTCACTTGCTCAGCCGTCGGATTCCATCTCCCGCACTTAGCCCCTGCCTTGCTACACAGCCCGGCCTCCTCCATCCCACACCTATCTAACAGCCAACTGTAAATTGTTTTGGCCCTTCCTTATGACGTTGTATTTCTGTTCTAGCTTCTCTTCTTATACGTCTTCTTTAGAAATCCGCACCAACTCTGTTCTAGCAGCAGGTTGCTAGCTATTGAGAAGATGAACTCTGATGAACCTTTTTGTTCTTGACTATCTATGCACTTCTGCTCAACAGATTGCTAGAAATTTGATTAAGGTACTACTGAGCATTAAATATCTCATGGATTTATAAATACACACACTAGCGCATCTGAGTGAGATTGGAGAGATAGCGATTCATGATGGTATGTTGTAGTAGTGTGAGTGGAGACAAGCGCGAAAGCTGCCACTCTTGAAAAAGTTTGGCACTCCGAGGGCAGACATCCTTCTTTTCTTTATTCCGGTCATGCATATGGGATTGTCGTGTTTAATCGCGCCCTTGTCTTATTATGCGTCTTCATTTACAATAGTCAATTCCGAGCGATACTGATTTTAATTACAAGTCTCAATTCCCGGCGTGTGCGGCTTATTTAATTGCCCTCACCTTGCCCGGATTTGGTCGTCCTGCTGACAATGTATTTTGATTTTCCGAGCGCCGTATGTCATTAAAAAAATACGTTTGGGAGTGATTTTTTGTCAATGGCAGTGACTAAAATAACCAAAAATACTCTTTTGTCGTGAAAGCCTTCCGTCAATAGGAATTTCTGTAGAGAAAAAATAATTACCTTTTAGATAAAGATGATTAGAGGGCAATTCTTGTCTTTGATTCAAACTTTTAGGTTGATAAATGTTCATCTACAAGTATATTCAACACAAATTAATTCTCACCGTCCATTTTCCTGCCTGATGATAGTTGAACTTCTAGTAGACATTCTTTAGGCTAGGCTTGAGGATTTTCTCCATTTTTTTAATATTAAAATGATCCGTGATATTCATCCATCACTTAGAAAATGAAAATGTATTTATAGTTCGTAAGACCTAATGTACAAAATGATGTTAAGAAGGTAGCAAATGCTGAATTATTTTTAAGTGATCAGCTATCAGCGTTAGGAAGCGTGATGTGTATATAATGACATCTTTATTTATAGGTGTTGCTGCAATACAAGTGCATTTTATACATCGGAAAGTAACTAGTACTGGCCTCGTCGTTTCAGAGAGGCCCTCCCTAACTATTAGCTAGGCGTAACTTTTGGAAAAAAATGGCTTTCTTGAAAGTTGAGTTATGCCATCCTTTAAGGGTTACAATTTGCATGTATCAGTGACTTTTTTTTAATACCCCCATTAAAAATGTCCAAGCAGAAAGCATGGAGAAGAAACTTCCCCCTTTAAATGTTAAAATAGATGAGCCGTTCGGGAAAAGAGAGAGCAATCAAGAAGCAGGTAGCGGGTATCCATATTCCCTTTGCAGATGGAAAGTGTTGGGAGCAAGGAAAAGCAGTGTGTAAACTCTCTTCCTACAAATCCCACAAGCGGACCCGCTGATCGATTTTCCAGCCATCAAGTACTCTCTTGGGTTCAGAGATTTATTTCTTTATCAATACAAATTAAAATCTGTTTTCCGTGCAGTTAGCTGCATGCAATTCCCGATGTAGTCCACTCTCTCCTTTCTCTCTCTCTCTAGCTTTTCATCTCCACTCACGGACATCTCTCTCTAGGCTGTCTAGGTCTAGTTCCATTTGCCGATCTCATCGTTTTATTATAGAAATCATCAATTTATGTCGTTTTATTATAGAAATCATCAATTTGTGTTATCATAAAAAAATTTCAAATCTTTGAAGAAGAAATCTCGAGGCAGTACCATCGAGATAAGCATGAACTTCGAAACATTAAATACTCGGATTATATTATAAATCAAAAGATCATCACAACTTTTTTTTTGTTCGATTTCCTCTTTTTTCTACATTTATTCGATTTCCTCTTTTTTCTATATTATATTTATTTGCATAGTTCATAATTTATTATTTTTTATTTTTTATCAATTATTAAAATTTTATAACATAATTTTAATTATTCATTTATTTGACTAGAGATTTTAAAGTTTTTTTAATGGAAAGATTGCTTGTAATTGGCCTTGAAAAAAAGTATTTTTATGATATTATGTGATTTTTTTTTAGTAATAGATTGGGTCCTCCCACTATTTTGTGTGCGTAGATTTTTTTTTCAGCGTGTCATATATTAATATATTTTTTGTGGTATTTTATCTTTTTGTTATTTCTCGTTTCTCATATCTAATAGATATTTCCATATAAAAAAAACTTTTTTTAATATTAGTTCATGATATTAATGTGATACGGTCATCATAAAGTTTTAAATTGATAATTTTGATTGCTTGAACTTTGGGCTTTGAAAAATAAAATTTTTGGTTTATTAATCTAGTAGGGGCTTCTCTAAATACTCACCAAAGTATTTAATATATGAGATATTAAGTGTGAATGCACCATAGGCAGATGGAAAAACATTTCAATCATTCAATTGTTGTGAAAAAAAAATGACGACAATAAAGCGAAAAACGGAACGAGAAATTCACAAAACAGAAAAACACAGTGGAACCACACAGATTTAAGTGGTTCAACAAAGTGCCTATGTTCACGGAGTTGTAGAGGATTTTATTGCTTTGAGGATTACACAGTCGATCGCCTCGACGTTTACAAGAAACTTTCCTCTCTCTCTCTCCTCTCTCTCACTACCCACGAGCCCTTACAGAAGAAGAAAACACAAAAAAGGGGAAACCCGATGGAGGAAGCCACTATGCGATAGTATTTCTTCCGTAAGTTTAATCGTAACCCTTTCTTCTTCCAGCCAAAGCCCTTTTAAAACCTTTCAATTCAAGGCCCATTAAGGAACGTTTTTATTTTGTGAATCTAGAAGAAGCAAAAACAAGGAGATGAGAAAGCAATATTGAGCAATCATAATTTTTGCATTCCTGAATTCACCAACAGGAGAAAGGCGGGAGAATTAAATAGAAGAAGGAAGGAATTAAATCCAATTTAATTAACTTTCATAAATGTAGAAACTGTCAAATCGAATCGTGGACCGAGTTCCACAATACTCAACAATTCTCTCACTTGGAGGCTGGACACAAATTGCACCATCCATTAACTGCGTCGCCCTTTTCTCTAAAAGTGATATCCTCTATCTCTGCAACTCAAAGACCCGGTTTTCATGTTAGAAGGCCAGCTGAAGTCGAACACAACTTCAGCTTCTCAAGAGTAACACCCTTAGCCGACATATCAGCATCAACATAACATTGTACCTCCAAGCTCTTTCTTGGGTTACTCATGTGTTTGCTTACAACTTCCACTACATGGGCAATATCATACATCTGCTGAAAGTTTTTTTCAATAAGTTCAGTCTTGTACCTCTTACTATCATCAAACTCAGTCTTCAATCAGTATACTCGCTTGTTGTGCAATGTCTTCTTCCCTGTTAGAAGTTTTGTCAGCTCCCAAGTCTGATTCTCTGGCAGGGAATTCGTCACCTTCTTCATTGCCAACTCCCACTTGCTCAAATTTTCATTTTGCAAGATTTTTTTACAGCTCTAACTCATGTGAACAAGCATGCAATGTCACAGATCTGTCGTGCTCTCTACAACCGTAGTGACAACAGTATTTTATAAACATGTAGTCATATATAGTTTGTCAGTTTTCTTACCCCGAGTCAGTACTAGTGCTCTTTTGGTAGCCTTCTAGATATTATCTAAGAACACTACTGAATGATCACCCTCATTGAGCTGTCCAACAGAAATAATGTTTTTTTTCAACTCAGGAATGTGTTTGACCTTTTACAAAGTTCATTTGCTCTTGTTAGGGAGTGTAATATCAATATCTCTCATCCCCACCACGTTCAGAGCTTTTTCATCAGCCAGATATATCTTCCCAAAGTCACCTTCAACATAATTCCGCATTAACTCTCGATGGGAAGATATATGAAAAGAAGTCTCTGAATCCACTATCCAGTCATCAACAGAACTATGAGTTGTTAGCAATGGTGCATCTTGTATTTTTTCAGTTACAACATTAGCGTTATCATTCTCTTTCTTCTTGGGATTCCTGCAGTTCTTCTTTATGTAGTCAGCTTTGCCACAATTCCAGCAGATTGTCTGTTTACCAGACTTTGATTTTGATTTTTCTCTGTTTGAGTTTTTGTCATTTGATTTTCTCTGGAATCAACATTCAATGCCTAACTCAAACTCGAGATCTCACCAAAATCTTTCTTGCGCACCTCCTCAGCCAAAATCAAATTACAAATATCATCGTATTTCAATTTAGACTTACCTGCAAAACTGCTAATTTTCATCCTCATGACTTCTCAGCTATTTGAAAATGAAATCAACAATATCAACGCACGTATCTCATCGTCAAAATTAATTTTCACAGACGACAATTGATTTGTGATGGTATTAAAATTATTCAGATGTTAAGCGACAGACACACCTTCTACCAACTTCAAGTTGAATAATTTTTTTATCAAGTGCATATTGCTATTCATCGATGGCTTTTCATATATACCTAATAAAGCCACCATGAGATCGGTAATAGTCCTCTCATTGATGACTTTGTGGGCAACGAATCTTGATAGAGTTAATTGAACAACCCCCAGAACTGATCTAATAGTTTCCGTTCCGCATCGTCCATCTTCTCCGGTCGCTTTCCCAATAACGAAAGATGAAGTTTCTTCGCATAGAAGTAGTCTTCTATCTACATCCTCCAGTAACCAAAATCTTTGCCAATAAACTTCTCGATCCCTGATGACATCACTTTATCTCTAGTCATCGTTCTTCCTTAGATCCGAAACCACATCTTTGAAATCAGTTGTTGTGAAAAAAACGAATGCAATAAAGCGAAAAACGAAATAAGAAATTCACAAAACAGAAAAACACAGTGGAAATAGACAGATTTAAGTGGTTCGACAAAGTGCCAACGTCCATGGAGTTGCAGAGGATTTTATTGCTCTGAGGATTACACCGTCGAGCGTCTCGACGTTTACAAGAAACTCTCCTCTCTCTCATCCTCTCTCTCTCTCTCCTCTCTCTCTCACTACTTGTTAGCCCTTACAGAAGAAGAAAACACAAAAAGGGGAGATCCGGTGGAGGAAGCCACTATGCGATAGTATTTTTTCTATAAGCTTAATCGCATACCCTTTCTTTTTCCAGCTAAAACCCTTTTAAACCTTTCAATTCAAGGCCCACTAAGGAAAGTCTTTAATTTGTGAATTCTCAAGAAGCAACGGTGGGATTATAGGAGATATGAGAAAGTAATATTAAGCAATCATAATTATTTCTTTCCTCAATTCACCAACAGGAGGAAGCGGGAGAATCAAATAGAAGAAGAAGGAATTAAATGTAATTTAATTAACTTTCATATATGTCGAAACTGTCAAATCTAATCGTGGATCAGGCTCCACAATACTCCACATTAATTATGTTCGATTGATGAGATTATGGAGGAATTAGTCATGGAGGGGTTGTGGTTCAAACCGGAGTACTCTTTGATATGATAAAAGTTCTCCCAACAAGTTATATCAATAACAGAGATTATAGCATATTCGTACATTTGTAAATTTATTCTTATTAAACGATTTATGAAAAAGTTTAATTTCATTGTTAAAATTTTCAAGGAACTTTTATATGATAGTTAAAGATGAGAATATATTTTTTTCTTTTTTTATAAATATTTTTATAACATGTGATTTCCATTTGAATTAGTTCTATTTAATTTAAAATTTGTTATAAACGTGATTTCGGTTGATTGGTTTCCTGTGGAAAGCATTTGATCCGAGTATTTTTGTATGGAATTACTTGTTGAATTAATTTCTTATGTTTCTTTCAATTTTGTGGTTAAAGAACGCATGATTTTAAAAATATGATAAGATGAAGATTAGATCATGAACATCCCTTAATTAGTGTTATCTAATGTTAAAATCGGACTGAACAAAATGATATGAACCAACTTTTGAACTTGATAACTATTGAATTGACTTGATGAATTAGACAATTATTTTAATTATTATTATTATTTTTTTTTTGATAAAATTATTTATTCGTTATTGATTGTTATACCATGCATTTGGAAGACAATGCAACTCGGCATAATTGAATGCGGTGAGCTGATTTGAAATTCTATTTAATTCTTAACAAGAGGTAAGTTCATTTATAAGTGACATAGACACTAAAAGTAAGCAAGCAAAATTATAAATATTTTTTAATTCGATAAATAGAGTCATATATCCATACTTCAGTTATGCCTAGCTCTGTTATCGATCATACACAATGTTAAATTATTTTCTACGCTTATTATATATTTTTTTATTATTTCAATTTCAGAGATTTTGATTGTTTAACATAACTATGCTGACATAAAATTGCTCTCGTGATGCTTGTGATCCTACTATTAGGTCTATAGTAGTTGCATGCTTTATATGGCTTGAGCAGATAATCTACTAAATCATTAGCGCAAACTATAACAAGAGAAACCTCTTGTTTTTGCCATGAAATAAAGTAGT